TTCTCAATTCACTCATTTCTACCCTATTTTATTGCCTCGATTTTTTACGTATGAAACTAAGTTCCTAGACAGTAGACAGACAATGTAGACAGGAACAGCGTGTAAAATAAATTTAATTTTAAACTGAACGTTTAAATTCTAGTTCATATTTTGCAAAGTTTTTCGTAAAGATCCATTATCAATTAATCCGGTATGATTCTGAGGAAATTTCTCATAAATCTTGCAAAACAGTTACGATACGCTCTTAGTAGAAAATCAGTAGGAAATCTCAAAAACATTCAATGATGCTTCGCGGCAAATTTAAAATTACAGTAACATGAAATATAACGATAATTAAGAAGGAAATTTAGCATATTTAACGATTCGTTTAATATACGATCACAGTAACTCTCGTCCATGATTTTTCCTGACCCTATGCGCCTTCAACGACCTCGCTAAGAACTTTCATTCGTATCCTTGTATTATAGCCAATTACTCGTCCGACTGTTTTTGCCTAGTGCCTGATGTATGAACGTCATTTAACAACATTGCTCTTACTATTAACCTCGTAAACGACAGCGCTATGTATATAACGCTAGGACTGTACTCGTCCACAGGTATTGTCATGAAAACACCATGTGGACCATGACGTAGAGCGTTATCGTTGAGTTACCATAATCACGCTGAGTACGCACGCGAGTTTTTTTTTTATCTTCGTTATTTTTTCTTCGTTACGTATGGACTGATTGCAACATTCACGTGTGTAATCTTTAGAAATGATTTGCTCGTGAAAGTATCGTTGAAGTGTTACTCAATTTTTTGAGCACAAATTCCTGAATTGTAAACTCACGTTTTCTCATTTTTTTCTTCTTTTTTTTTTTGCATGTATTAAAGGCGAATAGTGTCTCACAATAAATGCGTGTCAAATGCAAGATTGAAGATTAATATCTGAAAAATTGAGCTCAACTATTTTGCGTTGTTGTAATATTTTCATCAGATATCCAATATCTATAGAGAAAACGAAGGAATTTTCTGTTACTTTCAAATTATTCAGACCAACAGTGGTCGTACAAGTTTGACGTTGTTTGAGGAAGTTGAAAATTGAATCTTAAATTCAGCTGATCGAAATAATCACATCTTGCTATTACATATTCGACAAAGATCCAAAGTTCACGAAGATAACAAGTGGTCCAATAAATGAACTGTCTGCTTTCGAGTTATACCAACCCTCCTCTTGAAATCCACGATCGAAGGAACAGAATGGAAAGGACCCCCGACTGATCTCTTAACACCCTTATTCCGATCGAAGATTTCTCCTTGAAAATCAGTAGGTACCGGTGGCATTCCCCTAAATCCCATCGAATTATCCTTGCTTCACGGCACGTTGCCAGAAGAACGATCACCGAGAAATCCGCGACGAGCGTGATCCGCCGACAAAAGGGGATCATCGTGCCCGCTGGAAACAACGTGCTGCAGGTTCCTGGACCGGTGACCAGCGTGTCCGCCCACGCGAGGACGCCGCTCGTTCTAAAAATATACAATCCGGTCGGCGCATACTGTGCTACCGGTTTTAAATCTCGCCCGCCACCGGCCAGGAACCGATTCAATGCTTTCCGTGAAAATAAAACGAGAGACCCCGGGCCACCGAGAGACAGAGAGGTACTTCCGAGCCGCTAAACTCGTGAATCGTTAACGCTGATCACTATGAGGGTTGTTAAGGGATCGCTGGGACGGTTGTGCCAAATATCGATTCAATAACGGTCCACTGCTAATTTCCTTAAAATCGCGTTCCGCATTCTGCGTTATATATTTTTGATACGTGGAAATGTTTTACGACAGACAACGAAGTAATTTAATTGGCTGTGAAAATAATTTAAAAAGGAACAGAGCAGAAATGATTTAGAAAGTGTTTCTTTTTTTTTTTTTTTTTTTTTTTAGAAACGGGAAAAATGTTTTGCGTGAAATGTTGTTGAGAAAAGATTGATGTGTGAAATAATATGTTACGAAATAAGTGATCAAATAACATTGCGCAATAGAAAAGATAGCAATATGAGAAATATTCGAGATTTGTATGAGTCGACTGACGTATGTTCTTTAATTAAAAAAAAAAAATGCCAGTTCATTGATCATAACATATTAGGCATATCTCATACGCATTAATTGTATTACTTTAAGTAACTGAGATCAGAGCACCTCTTACCTCTGCTACTACTCCACTAATCTTCTGTATTTTCTCTTAATATTGCTCGCTTGCACTGTTTCACTGATCGATAAATTTTTATTTCGCTCGATAAGATAAGTTTGCGCTTCCTTATAAGCGTGAGTAGAAGAGGGGATTGTGTTAGTAGCCATCAAAGTCACTCAGAGTATAAATTCGATGAAACTCAGCAAAGTTAACCTAATTTTATAATCTACTTCTCAACCATATTAAAGAATCATTTTTGCACAAAATTCAAACTTGGAGTCCCCTCCCCCGAACAATAGTCGATTGATATTCAGAAGAAATTTACAAAGAAAAGGAAAGTGAAACAGAGATTGGTCAGTATATCACTATTGCTTCACGTATCCATCATTATCTCGACTTATTTCAACGATGTTCGTTACCGTTTTATCGGGAAATCAAGTGTTTCATTGGTCATCGTTTCCATTATCGTTCGGACGCAGAAAGATTAAAGAAATCGTGGCAATCACGTTTGCGACGGTAACTCGGTAGCCGCGTTCCGGCATTACCAGTTAATTAAGATCCCAATAAAATCTAATTTACGCGCCCGTCATAAATCACCGAACGGACAGACAGAATGGAATGGAAGGGTCCGCGACGTGGAAAAGTAGTTCGTGCTCGCGTTATAGATCGACGTTTTGCCGATCCAGTCAATTAATATCTTTCTACGTCCATGCAGGCGAATTTGATTAACAGCGCGGTGCATGCATCTGCCTAGGCTGTTGCCTCGCGTGAAATTGTTGCCTACCGACTACGACCGGGATTAAGGATCGATCTGTCGATATTGATGTGGCATTCTCCATCGTGTCTCTTCTCGTCGACTCCAGTTTCTATCGTCCGCAGCAGTAATGTCATCTCTCTGTAACGTCATCCCCGATATACGAAGGACTTACCTGGCCTTTAAGTCTCTCTCTCGCTCTCTCTCACACACACACACACTGTCGTCCGTGTTCTCTCTCTCTCTCTCTCTCTCTCTCTCTCTCTCTCCTGATCTCTCTCATGCGATATCCAATGACAATGTCTCTCGGCGCCGTTCCCGCCATTAATCTATTCTCCTCTTGTGCCTTGTCGTCAACCTGCCCCGGTGAATGCAGATAGTCCTCGATCGTTCGTCGATTCGAGTGACTCGGTTGCTCGATCGTGCTGGAATCGGTGCATCGTACTTAGGATAATGCGTATACGTATATTTTGCCTGTTGGCCGGTTTCGTTGAGGCTCTTTGTCTCGCGAGTCAACGGATTTGCAAGTCGAATCGCGAAAAATGATTATTCCGTGCCGACAAGCTATTGTGCGACTACTATGCGTAATTCTGGAAACTTGTACTGGATAAAGAGAATCTCGATTGAGCGCGTTGATCGATGATTTACGATAGTATTTTCTCTGATACTAGAGAATCTGATGATACGTTTCTCTGATTTGAAAGACAAAATTCTTGATTTCTGTTTCAGTTCTTTCAAGCTGCTCTTAAATTAAGAAATGTAATCTGTAGTTATTATCTTATGTCAGCATTGCATATCTCAATATGACACAGATACAATGTGATAATATATGGTTGATCGTATAAAATATTCCGTTATGTGGGTTCTCGTTTCTACTCTTTTTCCCGTCTTTTGGTCTTTTTTTTTTTCTTTTTTAATCCCATTGTCCCCGCGTAGAGTAATATGCCGATACTTATTTATGTGGTTTCATTGTACGGCTAGTGCGCTGGACGCATCGTATGCATTGTGAATCAGCGCTCACAGTAGGAGCACATTGTATTCTTGTTTCTTCTCCTGTTTACCCATTCATTGGCCGCATAAAAAATTGTCACTTAGCCAAGTATCGCGATCCTATGAATATCTCTCGCATATCCGCAAATTATCGCGAAATGAGAAACACCGTCGCGAGTCGATCGATAATTCACTGTCGATCTATTTACTCTCGTTTTTATCTCGTGTTTTCTTTTCGCTAGAAAAATTGAGCAATTGCGAAAGAACGGAAGCAGAAACATATCTAATAAGGTAAATGACACAATCGTGTCATCCGAGCTACTCTATCGCGATAACGCAAGCCGTTCTCGGTAATTTTTCAAAGTCTATAATACCACTTTCTGAAAACGTAGTATTGGTGAAACTCCTTCAACTACCCCCGTGAAGTTGCTCGTAGAAACTACGCAGTTACGCTCGGGTGTCGCTTCGCCGTGTCGTACGCGCCTCTACGAACCGCTCCGAAGTGCATACAAGCGTGCCGCTCGTTTGTGTGGGTTCCCTCTCACTCTCTCTCCTGTCGAGATCTCATTGCTACATGCTACACGCTTTGCTTACTTCGAAGTGTTTCGCGTCGGATGCTCGAAAGTAAAACCTCTTTATCCTTGAGAGAGTTATCCTTTTTTTTTTTTTTTGCGAGATACGGCCAATATACAAGACCGTAGTAAACAAAATAAAAACGACACCGCAGAGAGAGAGAGAGAGAGGTTACAAACCTGGTGAAATAGCGCGCGCAAAATTTTTCCTGCTGCGCAGAGCATTATCTTCCCCCGGAGTCAACGAATTGATGGTTCATCAGCACGCGTAAGACGGGACATCGTGTGCCACGCTCGGTTTCGAAAGTTTTGATTTTCCTTCCATCTTTCTACCCTACTTGACCCTAACCGGTAAATTTACAACGCGATCACACATTCGTAACGTTCACACACATTCAACCCCACTAGCGACTGTTCTTTTCTCCCTTTCCTCGCGCCGCGTCGCTCGAGTTCGGATGCGCGCGCATCGTTCCCCCCACTACCGGGGCAACCGGCTGCGCGAGGCGAGTGAAGTGGGAGAAGTCGGCTGCCGCCGCGAGGCAGAACGTGCGGACCTAGCAGATGAAACGGAAGGGTACCGTCACTATTACACCAGATCTCGAGGAGTGAAGACAGTCTTTCTTGTCTAAGCTCAGTCGAGGTATGTTTTACTCTCGCGTTGTTTTACTTTCGTCTTTTCCTGATGTGTGATAACCTTACCAAAGAGGGTAATCGCGAGACGTAACGTGTTACAACATCGACCGTGTGCGTATATGAGAATTCGAAGGAACGGAGAAACGCAACGACGAAGGGGGAGTAGTCAGTTTCCCTGATCTATTCCCTCTCGCGCGAGTATTTCGTTGGTGCTCGGTGTTAAGAGGAAAGCGAACTGACATTTTTGCCGATAGGACTCACTCAGTGCATTGTATGTCGTACGATTAATCAGAGAGGACATTGAACCTTTGTGCCATCGTTTCTGAACTGTCATAGGCGCCTCTCGGTGGAGATCGCGCCATCGTATTATCTCTCGCACTTCGATAATCGAACAAATTTCGATCGTCCCACTCATGGAAAGTGATCCATTCGAGGATCCACCTTACAGACGTTTCAGACGACGTGATTAAGAAGCAATACGCGTCGAACAGAGAAAAAGTTCTGAGAGACTGATCGCGTGGACGGTCGATCGTGCGCATATTCGTTTGGCCGATCGTTACAGATCCGCGCGTTACCGATTCTCGTCGACTGGTTGACGCGTTCCACGCTAGGCCACGTGCGTTTTCTCCATGGACAATCCGGTGATGACGATAGAGTCTTCGTAACCGCGCTGACGAACATTGAGCGTGCGCCGTCGAGACCCGAAGTCACGTGTGTCGCCACGAAATTACGTTCTGTGTCGAACTTGGCGGAAAATTCGTGTGCTCGCGATCCTCCTTGACTCTTGAATCGCCGATATCGTTCGATTTCACGGCGGCGATTCTGTGCGTGCGATCGTAAGAGAGAAGCGGCAAACGTAAAAATCGTATAAAGAAAAAAAGCGCAAAATATCAAAAGTGCTAGTGCTTGATCCACGAACATTGATTCGATTACAGTGTCGAGACGAACAGAGAGCAGCATCTAACAGTGCATCAGCCACGATCAAGAAATGGCGATTCCATTTGTAATGCCGTCCGACGACGAAGCAGGAGACCAGGGACAGCGGTTAGAACAACTGATGCTTGATCTATACGCCGCTTTGCAACAGGTCCTCCGAAGCCGGGCCGCTCAGCATGCATCACGCAATCGTGAGTCGAACGATTTTTTAAATCTCGTTGGCATCTATCTCGAGATTTTCCTACTTCTCCTTCTGCAGCAGACAATGTATCACAATAACTGATCTGTATAATCTGTCGCGTCAATTTGAATTCATATCGCAGTAGAAATGGACGAGCAATCGACCATCTACGTGGTCATGCGACTCGTCACGTGGCATGGCCACATTGTTCTTAATTTTTCTATTTCGCCCCGGCGCTATGGCTAGGATGTATCCGTGAGCTAGAAAACAATTTTACCACGACGGCTTTTCAGGAAGACGCGGCAATTAGTTACGATTTTATGAGAACTATATTGTCCGCGAGACATTTTCCGATTATCTACAGAGGCTGGAAAATCTAGTCGAAACAAATATGTTATAAAATATAGTTGCACAGAGAAAATTAAACAAAAAAAAAAAGAAAAAAGAAAAAAAAGAAAACATGTTTTCAATAATTCTCGATTATTACTATTATATGAATAATTTGTGATGTATCTGTTGCTATAACGCGTGTGGTTTATAAATTTAGTCAGTATTATGTTTTGAAGTAATGTAAATTTTTAATATTGTTTACTTAAACCCTACTCTACGCTATGTATACTAACCGATACTTCTTCTTACTTTTTTGTAATCATTTGTTTGTCTGTCTCGTTTATTTATTTTTATTTATTGGGACTCCGTATTACATTATGTACACACTTTGTAAACGCTAATCAAAATTTGTTCTCAATAAAATATGTATACGTTTGAGATTCATAATACGTGCGACGCAATTAATTTCCTCTTCTCACACGCGAGAGCTGCGGGTATACACACTCGAGAGTAGGACAGCACGCTGCATATCGACTAGAAATGCAACACGTGGTTGTCGCCCAGTACAACGCGGATCACTTTCGAGTGGAACAACGCGACTCTATACCCCAATTTCCCTTTCAAAATGAAAAAAATACCTTTTAGAATTACGTTTTTCGTTGAGTTTTTCCCACAAAGATGTCCACATAGATCATTAAAAATTTCATACTTCACGTTCGTTTAATAAATAAAATCCAGAACACTTTTCTTTCAAATTTCATACTCAAGTTTGATGAACTTTTCTGTTGATGTGTGTGTTTAGTAATCACCGATTGAAGCAAGATATTAAAACGTGACTTGCCTCAGAAAATCACAAAAGTATCATTTGTTCCTTTATTTCATTGAGTTCCGTTTTCTCACTGACATTAGTAAGATATTACAGAATTGGAATGTTATCCATGATAATGATATTACAGAGTAAAGATTGAATGCACTTTCTACGTTCTAATTAGTTTTTACTAAAAATGTGTAAATTTGAGCCTCCAAAGCTATATAATTTTCTTTATTGATAAGAAATAACTTTCTTGCAGTTTTCTTTCTTTCTTAATGTCGACTTTGTAACGGTTAGTCAATATTGAACGCGCAATAAATTTGCAAAAATTAAGACGTAGAATTTCGGGAAGTTCACCTTGTATTCGTTTGGAAGGACTCGTGCGACGTATGCGAGCGATCGTCATCTCGTTTAGGTCGTTGACTCGCATCGGCTGTTGCACGATTTGTCGAAATTTCTGATACATTTGACAGCGGTCGTTGTCCCGTGAGTCAGCGTCGAAAAATCTTGGTCCATCGCGATGGTTGCGAGATATGCTAGTATTTTTAGTGATTTCGCGAACACTGGAAACGAAACGTAGATCGTGAAACGCGTGTCTTTGCACGATTTACATTCGTCTGTATTTTTTTTTTTTTTTCTTTTTTTGCGCGATTAATTCAATTTCAGTTCAGTGTCTTCTCAAGACAGATCTCTGACATTCTGACGCTTTTTCTGAGAACTTGTTCGCTGTAAAAAATTTGTTGTCGCTTTGAGTAACATTCAGTAATGTTTTGCTTCAAACTAATACAAATCGCTTTGACTAATATTTAGTAATGTTTTAGTCCAAACTAATACAACTAATGTATGACGCCATTCAGTGAAACGATTTCAGATTGATGACTTTTATAAATCATTGTTTCGTGATTTTTTCGTTGCGTACATCACGATTAGCTCTCTCCGAAAGTTCTCAGTAACTTCCAAGATAAATTTCTGTAGCAAAACTTTTTATCGGTGAGACTGAAACGAAATAAATATTCTCAATTTATATTGATCGTGACGTAAATCGGGCACAAAGAAACTTTGAAACTCCAATATCGACTAGAAATCATAATTCTCACCGCCTGAAATTAGTTACTTTATACATCAGTTTCTCAGTTCCCCTTTCGCGATGCAATCCCTCATTGCAACAAATAATCGCGGAAATTCTGCAAATGAGAAAACGGGAGATAAGCAGAGAAAGAAAAAAATGAGAGAGAGAGGGAGAGAGAGAGAGAGAGAGAGAGAGAGAGAGGAACGAGCTAGAGGCGTAAATTGCGGTAACTTATATTCGGCGCATAATGAAACGCGGCTTTACGAGGGTGCAGCGAGCGAAAGGGGGCGAGTATAACAGATGTAGCGTGGGTGTGGAGGCGAGAGTATGGCAGACGATGTCCGGCCATGACCCTGCACTGCTGCTCGAGCCTTCTTTACGGCGAAAGAGACGGCGCGGTCGCTCGGATCGACAGGAGAGTAGGAGGAAGAAGAGACAGAGAGGAGAGAAGCGAGGAGAAAAGACCGATGGTCAGGCACACACCGGAGTAAAACGCGCCATAAAACGCGATGCAACGGCTCGTTCCCCGAATCTCGGATGTCGATCGTCCACCAGAGATTGCAGTATCGAAACCGTGAACCGTGGCTGCGACGATTGCTCCACGAGTGCCTCGATATCGTATCTTATATGCTTTCAAATAGTACGTATGTATGTATATATATATATATATGGATGGTCAATATTCTGAAGAGGTTCCGGTCTCATCGTGCAATGATTTTCACCATAAATTTTAAGGTCGTTGTTCTGGCAGTCTGGTGGACGTTTATTGAGCATTTAATTTTCTAATCGTAGACTAGATAATTTTTGATAGATTATTCGTGAAATTTATTAAACGTCGAAAGTTGTTCAATTTTGGATATTATAGTATGTTGCCATTTCAGTTTCAATTATTCATTAAGGGTAGTTTTACATAGAGACAAGAGAGTAACGTTAAACTGCCAATTAGTTCAACAGACAGGCTTCAGCTTTGAATTATTCGCGTAACAGTCGTAATTTCATATTACTGCCGCTTGTAAAACGTTTCTGATCGAAGGTCAGTGCTCTCTGCCCGCTCGAAATTCGCGCGATTAACCGCGAGGAAACGTCGTCGGATAGCAAGCATTCTGAATCTATTTTGCCGCAGTTTCACGGCAATACGTCGCTAACAAGCCTTTGATCTCGCCGACCAGCGCATGGAAGTGTCCCGAAAGAAACCGCAAATTGCATCCGGTCGTCGCAAGTGTGTTTACTGTTGCTTCGGAGTGGCGGAACATTCCTTGAAAATGTAACACATTTTTAAAACAATGTATCTTTTCAATAACCATAATAATGATAAAAATCCTCTCCATCTTCCATCGATCTCTCGAAAATGATACATACTCCAAATTCAATCTTCTCAGACTATATAAAACGACCATGAAAACACGAACATGGAAATTGGCAAGAATCCTGGTGAGACAGTCACATCACCGGTCCATCATTTTTTTAAATAAAAGGTAAATGGCACGTATGTTTTCACACTTCTCTCCAGTTCATTTGAAGAATTTCTTTCGTCTCGGACTCTCGAACGTACTCCTCCAAATTTGTAACACTCTCGGATTCGACAGAGAGCACTGTGCTCGTGAAACCGCGGGGGAAAGCAGATGGAAATTGGCAGGGAGGGAGCCTTGTTAGAAAGTTGAATTACGCGCTTACGGTTCATTATTTTCCAAACGAAAATAGGTGGCGCGTACGGTGTACGCGCGGGGGTCAATAACCATAGTTTGCCAGCGCGGTTTCGAGAGAAGATGCAGAATCTGGCGGGCCCGCTAGCGCGCCACGTTGTATCGAGTCGCGGGGTTGGTTATTTATAGAAACAGCTGTGGCCAGCCCCGTTCCGAGTCTTCTCCCGTGACATTTGCAGAAAACTTCCACCTCGTCATCGGTGCTCGCGTAAACGCGACCACGGTAATAACGATTACGCCGCGTTACCCGGCCACGCTCGCTTCTTTTCGCCGGTTGGTTTTCTCTCCGTCTTGTTGTCCCAAGAGGGCATAGCGGCCCTCTTTTCAGGCCCCGATAGTTTCGCTGCGAACCGCGACGCTACGTTCCCATCGCGCGAACCGATAAGAAGAGAATCGAACTGTTCCCGCGATCGCGCTCTAATCGTTGGCGTTTAATTTCTCGGTACGAGAAAGATCGTGTTTCGTTCGTAAAACGATAGCCTTCGACACTGAACTTCGTATTATGTTACACTGTAAAGTAAAGTCTTGTGACTCGTGTCGATGAATTTCGGAGTAAACCTCGCCTGTCCTCTCGGTAGGACAGTGGCCGCCACCCTTTCCTTTCTTGCTTACGACTAGCTTAATTAACTTTTTTCTTTAATTCTCTACATTAAAAAATTCGTAACTCGTAAATCCTTAGCTCGGCTTGACTTTATTTCAGCTGTAAAGAACGATCTAAAGTTCGATGAAAAATCGAAGCGTGTCAAGTTACGAATTTCCTTTATCATTCGGATGATTCTTCGTTTCGAACAAATGAAGTCTACGAAATATCACTCGACAGAATTCTGGAATTCAAATCTGATCGTAATCCCAACGCGATCGTTCCACTCTGAATTCGCTTCATCACGGTTTTCCCAACGGAAGTCCCGAAGACGATCGATCCGGAACACGAAGAACGAGAGCACCGACCGTAGTCTATAGACCTGATGAAATATTGAAAGGAATTCGTCATTGCCGATTGTCCGGTCCTCGATGGCCGTCTCCTTCCATTCATCTATCGAGCCAAGCGTTATTGGCGGAGCCCTTAAAATATTCATCGTACCAGAACCTTCCTTTCT